GGGGGCTCACAGTACCTGTAGCCCAGGGACCTCACAGTACCTGTAGCCCAGGGGCCTCACAGAACCTGTAGCCCAGGGGCCTCACAGTACCTGTAGCCCAGGGGCCTCACAGTACCTGTAGCTCAGGGGCCCAGGGGCCTCACAGTACCTGTAGCCTAGGGGCCTCACAGAACCTGTAGCCTAGGGGCCTCACAGTACCTGTAGCCCAGGGCCCTCACAGTACCTGTAGCTCAGGGGCCTCACAGTACCTGTAGCCCAGGGCCTCACAGGCGAGCCCGGGCCTCACAGTACCCGTAGCCTAGGGGCCTCACAGTACCCGTAGCCAGGGACCTCACAGTACCTGTAGCCCAGGGCCTCACAGTACCTGTAACTCAGGGGCCTCACAGTACCTGTAGCTAGGAGGGCCTCACAGTACCTGTAGCCCAGGGGCCTCACAACCCGTACAGGCCACATACCTGTAGCCAGGGGCCTCACAGTACCTGTAGCCCAGGAGCCTCACAGTACCTGTAAGCCTAGGAGGGCCTCACGTACCTGTAGCCTAGGGGCCTCACAGTACCTGTAGCCCCAGGGGCCTCACAGTACCTGTAGCCTAGGGGCCCCACAGTATCTGTAGCCCAGGGAGCCTCACAGTACCTGTAGCCCAGGGCCTCACAGTACCTGTAGCCTAGGAGCCTCACAGTACCTGTTTGCCTAGGGGCCTCACAGTACCTGTAGCCTAGGAGCCTCACAGTACCTGTAGCCAGGGGCCCTCACAGTACCTGTAGCCTCAGGAGCCTCACAGTACCTGTAGCCTAGGAGCCTCACAGTACCTGTAGCCTAGGAGCCTCACAGTACCTGTAGCCTAGGAGCCTCACAGTACCTGTAGCCTAGGAGCCTCACAGTACCTGTAGCCTAGGGGCCTCACAGTACCTGTAGCCTAGGAGCCTCACAGTACCTGTAGCCTAGGAGCCTCACAGTACCTGTAGCCTAGGAGCCTCACAGTACCTGTAGCCTAGGAGCCTCACAGTACCTGTAGCCCTAGGGGCTCACGTACTGTAGCCTAGGGGCCTACAAAACCTTAATTCGGCTCTGGCACTCCGCCATGAATATAATAACCCACCGACATCATATTATGGATATGAATTATACTCTTCTCACAATCGAAGGGACCAGGCTAAATCCCCACTAACAGCACCTTTCAAGGCAGGTGAAATTGCTGACCTAGAAAATGTACAGAGAACCTTCACGGCGCGCATAACGGAGATAAAACACCTCAATTACTGGGAGCGCTTGAGGTTCCTGAACCTGTATTCCCTGGAACGCAGGTGGGAGAGATACATGATTATATACACCTGGAAAATCCTAGAGGGACTAGTACCGAACTTGCAAACTACGAAAGCAAAAGACTTGGCAGACGATGCAACATCCCCCCAATGAAAAGCAGGGGTGTCACTAGCACGTTAAGAGACCATACAATAAGTGTCAGGGGCCGAGACTGTTCAACTGCCTCCCAGCATACATAAGGGGGATTACCAACAGACCCTGGCAGTCTTCAAGCTGGCACTGGACAAGCACCTAAAGTCGGTTCCTGACCAGCCGGGCTGTGGCTCGTACGTTGGTTTGCGTGCAGCCGGCAGCAACAGCCTGGTTGATCAGGGTCTGATCCACCAGGAGGCCTGGTCACACACCGGAACTCTCTCCAGGTAAACTCCAGGTAAACACCAAATGAATGGTATGATTACCCGAGTAGTTTTTAAGAGCCAGGCGCAGCTCACATGAGTACCTGGAGAGGAGAAGGAGTACTCAGACCATCCTTGCTGAGGACTCGGTTCGTATCTCCGCCTCTCGATAAATCACATATGCTATCAGTGTCAAAGTCATGCAACAGCAACACGCTCCTCTGTACCATGGGGAAATTGCCTATTTCCAAATCATTATCCTTTGCGTTCCCCCAAGAACCCTTATTTAGATCACAATCAAAGCCTCGTCTTGAAGGCAGCCATGATGCCTTAAGTTGCTGTGCTGCCTTAGTCACACACAACTCTCTTCCACAAACTATGACAAAGCTCTGGAGACCGAAACGTTGCCACAATAAAATGTCACATTAGTGGCACTTGTCCTTTTTACCTAATATTTTCGGTAATTCTATCTTCATTACATGTATGTTGATGACCGTGTTCACTAGTCACCCGCTCCGTGGCTTGGTTACCAGCTCACACCTCTGCAACATAATTGTTCTCAAAGATTTCTTAAATTATACCATGAATTAAGGAAAGATCCTGGACTTTTCCTCACGAAAGCAGACAAAGCAAATGCGATAATAATTTTTTATATATTTTTTATATTTTAATGCGATAATAATTATGGATAAGGTAGATTATAGGGGAAGGGATATTAGAAAACTGGGGAATTGACGTGCCCCTTAAGCCTCAGGGCCCCTAATCCCGAAGGGGCCCCAGAAGAGACTTTAGCCCACATTGCTTTAAAAATTTGGGTCTACTGTACGAGAAGGGGTTGCGAAGGGGCCCCCATAACAGATTAAGCTCCGGGGCCCCGAAAATGTAGCTCCGCTACTGCATAGGGAAGAGAGAAGGTTATGACCCCCTCACCTTCGTGTGTCAGTGTGACTTGTAAATGGTTTTAGTCGCAGCGAAGCGTTGTCATAAGCTTCTGTGTGCGGGTTATTTTTGTAACATTCTCCTAACAATGCAAGCACAGTGTAAATCTTTTTTCGCGTAAAGACGCTGGGACGCTAGAACACAGTTGGGACGCTAGAACACATCTGGGACGCTAGAACACAGCTGGGACGCAAAAACAGATGGGACGCTAAAACACAGCTGGGACGCTAGAACAGCTGGGACGCTAAAACACAGATGGGACGCTAGAACACAGATGGGACGCTAATTTTGTAAAAAAAAAAAAACGGTGTTACCATTACAACAGGTGGGAACACAAGAAAAATTGCCCAATTATATCGAACTGCCTTAAATTACTTACTAAAAAATTCTTATAAATTGCCCATGTTGATTCCAAAAACTTCTGCAACCCATCTATTATCAAAATTTCTTTGAATTTAGCAATTATTAATAAAACGAGTTCATGCTACTGGCAAACGTTTGTCATTTGCTTCGCCAATTCTGATGGCGAAAACTGATGTAAAGAGAATCCAATAGCAATGCACAATTGTTTTTTAATTTGCTGGGAGTTTTGGACTAGTCTGTGGCAAATCCTTTTGTTGTTGTCACTTCTGGTGTAACCAACAGCAATATATGCAATTGGCCTGCCAGAAAGGGATCGAATCCTACGCATCTTGGGTTTTCAGATGCTGTGAAGCAAAAGGGGATCGAAGTCTGTTTGCAGACGATGCGAAGCGACTAGCAAAGAGACGAAGATGGAAATACAGGCACTAGTAGGGGAATTTAAAATGCAAATGGGTTTAGGGTTTCGTGTATGACGGTAATTAATGAGTAGAACGAGGCGAAAATGTAAGGCGAAGATGTGGTGGAAAGAGCATATACACAGTTTGGAGAGAGGGTACGATCCTTTTCAAGAATGCAATATTTATTATATTCACTGGGAGTCGGAAAACCCGTATGGGTCATACAGAGCAAGGAGTGGCGGCGGCTCGATACTCCGTTCGCTATTCTAGTAACAAACTAAAAAAACTAGTACATCTAGGTGAGTACATCTAGGTGAGTACGTCTAGGTGAGTACGTCTAGGTGAGTACGTCTAGGTGAGTACACACTCGTACTCACGCATGCGTGTGCCTCCTCCGTACACTCATTAACATCACGATAAATACCTGCTTATGAAAATTATAGGGCCCAGAAATACGTTCATGGTAATCAAGTTTATTATACAGCAGTGTGTGGTGAGAGTTCCAGGAAGAGTGCGTGAGGTGGGTGAGTTACTGGTGACCAGAGTGCAACACCGAGAAAGTTATACAAGACTTGGTACACCACTGGCTTCCTCAAGTTATGACTTTGTAACCTGTTGGCTTCCATAAAGTGAGGAATGTGGAAGGTGGTGGGTTTGTCAAGTGGTGTGACGGGTTCGGCAAGTAACTGGACTCGGCAAATGAGTGGACTCGGCAAGTGACTGGAATCGGCAAGTGACTGGAATCGGCAAGTGACTGGACTCGGCAAGTGACTGGACTCGGCAAGTGACTGGACTCGGCAAGTGACTGGAATCGGCAAGTGACTGGAATCGGCAAGTGACTGGGCTCGGCAAGTGACTGGACTCGGCAAGTGACTGGACTCGGCAAGTGACTGGACTCGGCAAGTGACTGGAATCGGCAAGTGACTGGAATCGGTAAGTGAATAGATTCGTTAAGTGATGGGTGTGTTATGTGGATTCATTAACTAGTTCGTTTTGTGGATTCGTTAAGGGACTCGTTCGTTTAGTGTTGGGTTCGCAAAGTTATAATCTCGCTCAGTGACATTTTCGTAGATCATTATATTATCACAATGCTTCGTCGAATTGATGACTAATATTCTAGTCATGGGGGAAGCGCTAAATCCGTAAAGTTCATACAACTCTTGTGGATATGGGAGGCAATCAAGTTTAATCCAATTAAAGGGAGAGACTTTTCCTGCCTGAGGTTTGAACCCTGAACCTTAAGTGATAAGAGCTGTGGAGTTCACCACTGAGCTACGGCAGTACCCGATGCTACGGCCGGCTCAGGACATATTCACCTGTCTTGGATGCCGGAGGATCGAGTCTTCTTCGTTACGAGAAAAGAAAGGATAGGATCAGTTGCAGGAACTGGGAATTCACTCCGAGCGAGGGAGGTCGTTAGCAAAAAACAGTAACAACAAAGACCTGGTAACGCCAGGATAACACAAGAAAGCCAATCATTGTGGCTTGGAGGGGGGTAAGACTCTACTAATTCTCAGGATACTGTTGACAACTAGGCGCTAGGGACCTATATATCGGCCTAGATTTCGTCCCGGAACATTTCGGCTTTCAGACGAACGCCCTACCTCTGCGTAGGTACGCGAGTTAGTGGGGGGTGGGACGAGGTATTGGAAGAGTTACTCTTGCCGATACAGCAGCTCGTTACGGGTACGTGATGGGACGAAAAGTAGTGTAACTCGTCACCGGTGATAGGTGGGACGAGGTATGGCCAGGAAGGGGAGTTACGCTTGCGTATACGCCAGCTCGTGACCAGGTGCGATGGGGTGTGTGGTTGTCAGTGCTGGTCGCGCCACCACAACGTCCACACCAGCAACACCCAGTCATGTCTCCGCTCTCCCCAACTCCCCACTAGTGCCGCCCCTCACCTGCTGAGTGGGGCGCCCTTTTCCCTCGATTCCTCCCCTACTCTCCCCCTGTGTCCTCCCCCGTGGAACCCTGTGATGCCCCCGGGTACAGTGTCATAGGACCCCTGTGCAGACAGACCTGTAGCAGGGGTGTTTAGAGGCACGCGCGCGCTGTCTGCGTGTTGGTGGAACAACAGGTGGAGTTTAGGAAGGTGGCTGTGATGTGAGGCACCACTGGCACTGTAGCAGCAGCAGCCGCATGCTGCACCAGGCCCAGAACACCCTCGCTAGCAGTGTTAGGGCAGTGCCAGGTATTTCAGGCACTGGTGTTGCCTGTGACATAGAGGGACGTGGCGTAGGCCTTCACTATCATCCTGGAGTAGCCTCGCTCACACAGGGACCTGGTGTAGGCCTTTGGGGTCCCTTCTGAGTAGGCTGTTTCATACAGGAACGCTGTTTAGGCCTCCAGGATCTCCATGAGTAGGCTGGCTCGCGAAGAGACCTGGTCAAGGCCTCTAGAAATCATCCCAAATAAACTCGTTCACGCTGGCTCAACTCAAAGAGGCTCAGTGATCGACAGGTGTTGAAAATAATATATATTATTATATATACACAGAGCTCAAAGTGTTTTTTTTTTTGTCACGCGGCAGTTCTCAATCCTCTCTACTCAGCCATCCCATCTTCAAAGACTGCTCGAAAACCAAAAAAGTATCGTAGCTGTGGGATTTGTGTGACCAACTTGCGATTCATCTAGTTTTTTACAGGCAGCAACGCAGAGCGACCGATTCAGAGAGTTTTCGAGGATTACATTGACAGGAGGAAGTCTGAGAGGAGGAGCCTCAGATGCAAGGATGAGTTTCCTAAATTCCCTACAGCAGGTGGTAGCCGGCGTCACCAACACCCTCTCCCTCTCACCTAAGAGGTTCCCCTTCGGCAGGGAGAACAGCAGTGGTGGGGGAAGCAACGATATCACTACTGCCACCACCACTACTACCACCACTACCACCACTGCAGTGGGTGGGTATCACTACCACCACCGCCCAGGAGGCTCGCCCAATCCACGCCTGGGGCCGAGGTTGGTGCCCACGCCTGGGAGTGGGGTGGGGGCAGCACCACGCCCACAGGGGCGGGCCAAGAGCTTCATGAACCAGATGCTGCATCCTCCGCCTCCGCCCATGCAACAGCAGGTGGTGAAGAGGGAGAGGGAGCGGCGCCCCCTGCCAGTGCTGCAGTGTGGCGATCGCTTCACCTACTGGCCAGAGTATGACCCCAGCCAGACCTGGTGAGTACCACGCCCACACTACCACCACGCCCTTATTACCACCACACCCACACTACCACCACACCCACTCTACCACCACGCCCACACTACCATCTAGGTCACTTTATAAATAGAAGTTTAATTATTTGAGAGATCTCTAAAATTATGATTAGAAAACGTACGTGTTGCACATTATTATTATTATTATTATTATTATTATTATTATTATTATTATTATTAGTTATTATTATTATTAATTACAAACTACGCACGACCACAAATTCATGTGTGTGTGTGTACTCACCTAGTTGTACTTACCTAGTTGAGGTTGCAGGGGTCGAGTCCGAGCTCCTGGCCCGCCTCTTCACTGGTTGCTACTAGGTCACTCTCCCTGAACCGTGAGCTTTATCATACCTCTGCTTAAAGCTATGTATGGATCCTGCCTCCACTACATCGCTTCCCAAACTATTCCACTTACTGACTACTCTGTGGCTGAAGAAATACTTCCTAACATCCCTGTGATTCATCTGTGTCTTCAACTTCCAACTGTGTCCCATCTCTGGAACATCCTGTCTTTGTCCACCTTGTCAAATCCTCTCAGTATTTTTGTATGTCGTTATCATGTCCCCCCTATCTCTCCTGTCCTCTGTGTCGTCCAGGTTGATTTCCCTTAACCTCTCCTCGTAGGACATACCTCTTAGCTCTGGGACTAGTCTTGTGGCAAACCTTTGCACTTTCTCTAGTTTCTTTACGTGCTTGGCTAGGTGTGGGTTCCAAACTGGTGCCGCATACTCCAATATGGGCCTAACGTACACGGTGTACAGGGTCCTGAACGATTCCTTATTAAGATGTCGGAATGCTGTTCTGAGGTTTGCTAGGCGCCCATATGCTGCAGCAGTTATTTGGTTGATGTGCGCTTCAGGAGATGTGCCTGGTGTTATACTTATCCCAAGATCTTTTTCCTTGAGTGAGGTTTGTAGTCTCTGGCCCCCTAGACTGTACTCCGTCTGCGGTCTTCTTTGCTCTTCCCCAATCTTCATGACTGCACTTCGTGGGATTGAACTCCAGGAGCCAATTGCTGGACCAGGTCTGCAGCCTGTCCAGATCCCTTTGTAGTTCTGCCTGGTCTTCGATCGAATGAATTCTTCTCATCAACTTCACGTCATCTGCAAACAGGGACACCTCAGAGTTTATTCCTTCTGTCATGTCGTTCACAAATACCAGAAACAGCACTGGTCCTAGGACAGACCCCTGGAGGACCCCGCTGGTCACAGGTGCCCACTCTGACACCTCGCCACGTACCATGACTCGCTGCTGTCTTCCTGATAAGTATTCCCTGATCCATTGTCGTGCCTTCCCTGTTATCCCTGCTTGTACTCACCTAATCTCGTTCATACCTCTCCTCCCTCTACAGATGTTCCTGGTGTCTACTCTATTTCTTGCTCCTCCTGTCCTCTTCAATACTTTGGAGAAACTGGTCGATCTCTTTCTGACAGACTTAGGGAGCACAAAAATAGTGTTAGGCTTGCCGACACTAACAATGCTCTTTTCTGTCACGTCAGAGATCATAGCCATCCTATTGACTGGTCTTCTGCTAAAACTGTCTTCCCTACTTCCAACTCGAACAGTCGCCGTTTAGTTGAATCCTCTCTTATACACAACTTTCCTTGTATGAACCTTAGCCCTGGCTTCGTCTCTGTAGATGCCTTCCTCTCCCACTACATTGTAAAATGCTCCAAACTTCAGAAACACCCGTGACTTAACCTGATTCCTCATTTTTTCTTCTTCTTCTTCTTTTTCTTCTTCCTCTTCCCCTTTCCTCTCTCCTTTTCTCCTCTGGGTTGTCTTTCTCTCTCCTGTCTCGTGTTTCTGTTCCTTCTTTATTTTATTTCACCACTTCCCCTTTCACGCACCTCGGTGCGCTTGCTCTCCCTCTGTGGGTTTCTAGCTCTCTTGCAGTGCTCCCCTTCCTTTGTATATGACTGGCTCGTCTTCCTTATTTCCCACTTCTACCACTACCACTACTACTACCTCTTCTTCTTCTACTACATCTACTGATGAAATTAGACACATGTGCGGCGTCTGGTTGTCTTTGTTGTGGACGTTTCGCCATCCAGTGGCTGGCTGGATGGCGAAACGTCTACGGTGAGGATGCCCGGGTGTTGTGCGTGTGTCATTTCATCCTGTCGGTATTATATACAATTCTTGTACTACTACTACTACTACTACCACTACTACTACCTCCACCTCTTCCTGCCTATATATAGCCGTCCTGCTCCTCCCCTGTTAGTGTGACTTTGTCAATGGTCCAAGTCGGACCGAAACGTCGTCGTAAGCTTCTGTCTTTTATGTGCGGGTTATTTGTGTATCGTTCCAGTCACGGTATTGTGCCTTTTTGTTATTTATTTTTGTACTCACCTAGTTGTACTCACCTAGTTGAGGTTGCAGGGGTCGATTCCAAGATCCTGGCCCCCGCCTCTTCACTGGTCGCTACTAGGTCACTCTCCCTGAACCATGAGCTTTATCGTACCTATGCTTAAAGCTATGTATGGATCCTGACTCCACTACATCGCTTCCCAAACTATTCCACTTCCTGACTACTCTGTGGCTGAAGAAATACTTCCTAACATCCCTTTGATTCATCTGTGTCTTTAACTTCCAACTGTGTCCCCTTGTTACTGTGTCCAGTCTCTGGAACATCCTGTCTTTGTCCACCTTGTCAATTTCTCTCAGTATTTTGTAAGTCGTTATCATGTCCCCCCTATCTCTCCTGTCCTCCAGTGTCGTCAGGTTGATTTCCCTTAACCTCTCCTCGTAGGACATACCTTTTAGCTCTGGGACTAGTCTTGTTGCAAACCTTTTCACTTTCTCTAGTTTCTTCACGTGCTTGGCTAGGTGTGGGTTCCAAACTGGTGCCGCATACTCCAATATGGGCCTAACGTACACGGTGTACAGGGTCCTGAACGATTCCTTATTAAGATGTCGTGTGTGTGTGTGTGTGTGCACTCACTGATTTGTGTTGGTTGGGGTTGAGTTTCAGCTCCTGGCCCCTCCCCCTCTCTTAAAGTACTTGTTTCTGAATTGTTTAATTCTGAAATTTGTATCTATTTTTGAAACTGTGTATTTTTTCATCCAAGTCGTTCCACTTTCAACCAGCCTGAGCAAAGAAGAAAGTTCTTCCTAACATCTCTATGGCGATTCTTTGTCTAAAGGTGCTGCTGGTGTCCCCTTTATCCTCTCGTATGTTAACATTTATCATCTTTTCTTTCAAACACACACACACACACACACACACACACACACAAGAGCTGAGTCTCGACCCCTGCAACTACAATTAGGTGAGTACACACACACACACACACACACACACACACACACCACAAAACGTGACCTCTGAAAAGCAATGTTGACATGTAATTTGGAAGACTCCCAATTTGTTGATAGAAAGAAGATCGGGGGTGTTGCCCCCACGTTGGAGAATGGAGTTCTTAGTGTGTGTGTGTGTGTGTGTGTATGTGTATATACATGCAGAGAAAGATCGCAGTCAGCAGGACTCTAAGCCACGTCAGGGGAGGCTGGCAAGGTCCCCCAAGTGACTCTAGACCACTCGGCCACAGATGCCTCAAAACCTGGGCACCCTGGTTTACAAGCCACGTTTCTTTCCCATCCCGGCCGCACCAGTGGGCCTCAAGCATGGCTTCAAACTATTTCATTCTCTTACTGTATCTTCTGAACCTTACATGCGATGTTTTATCAATGCTCCGCGCAGAAACAGGCGGGTACATGCAGGGAAATATCGTAGTCAGCAGGACTCGAAGCCACGTCAGGGACCCTGGCAATCCTGTTGACAGCGATCTTTCTATGTATATACCCGCCTATATATATACAAATACTGAAAGGGATGTATATCTCTCCCTACAAATGCTATTGTTTTTTCAGAATAATGGCAATTAAAAGCCTGACTTGCCCAGACACACTAATTAGACGACAAACAACGTTAAATTGTAGCCGAGAGAGTATGTTACTGAAGAAATGTTTATGTTGGAAAACACAAGCGTCGTTGTTGACACGGAATGTTGAATGTGTTGAAAAACTGAGGGAGTTATTTTTTAACTTTTGTTATACTGCCTCGGCTCATTTACAGGCCAAGAGCTACTATCCTGTCTCAGCTTATTTATAGGCCAAGAGCTGCTATCCTGCCTCGGCTCATTTACAGGCCAAGATATACTATCCTGTCTCGGCTCATTTACAGGCTAAGAGCTGCTATCCTGCCTCGGCTCATAGGCCAAGAGCTGCTATCCTGCCTCGGCTCATAGGCCAAGAGCTGCTATCCTGCCTCGGCTCATAGGCCAAGAGCTACTATCCTGCCTCGGCTCATAGGCCAAGAGCTGCTATCCTGCCTCGGCTCATAGGCCAAGAGCTGCTATCCTGCCTCGGCTCATTTACAGGCTAAGAGCTGGTATCCTGCCTCGGCTCATTTATAGGCCAAGAGCTACTATCCTGCCTCTGCTCATTTACAGGCCAAGAGCTGCTATCTTATATCAGTTCATTTACTGGCTAAGAACCACAATCCTGCCTTATTTACAGGTTAAGAGCAGTTATCCTATATACAAATAGGAGAGAGAAGCTCACGATGTTGTATCGGTTCAATTTGGACCATTTACAAAGTCACACTAACACAAAAGAGTGAGGGAGCCAGTATATATAGGCGAAGGGGTACAGGGGCGGGACCACGAGAGGAAGAGTAAGAAGTATTGGTAATGCCGGTAGTGGAAGTGATATTAGAAATAGCAGTAGTAGTCGTAGTAGAAAGTAGCGAGGGTAGTTTTAGTGCAGATTATTTGTGTGTTGTTCCAGTCACGGGATTGTCCTTCAGTTATCCTCAAATCCCAACGCTATTTAAGATTTACAAGCAATCCCAGGATGCTACCCACAACAGTCACACCCAGGTACCTACTTACTGCTAGGTGAACACGTTCCTGTTAACTGTTAGGTGAAGAGACATGTATTTATTGCTAGCT